CACACACACACACACACACACATCAGAGGCCTGCTGTAGGAGGGAACAGCTTCAGGATGTAGAAGGTGAGTCTCTATTTTTCGCTCTTCACCCACAGACTTCCTGCAGGAACATTTGAGAGTTTGGCGGTTTGAGTGTTTCAGGTGGGGGCGATAAGACTGCAACACGATTCAAACCCACGCACACACACACACACACACAGACACACACACACGCTGAGGGATGAAGATGTCCTAAAACTGCTACAGAGTAGGAGTACTGCAAACACACACAGACAGTAATGCTGGACGGGTTCAATAAAAACAATCTGATAGTAATAAAGTTTATTTACTCAGGCTGTCCCTGCACACACAACATTCACTGATTTTACTCATTAACTGGAATCAGTGTGTGACGTCATCAAACAGTCCCGATCAAAAGTTCTGAAAATGTCAAAACATCCTGTTTTGCATGTTTGGATCTTCACAAGGTTGCAACTCGAGCTGCAACATGAAACAAGAAGAACCGAGAGTGAGACAGAGCAACGCTTACACTGAAGCTGGCTGTTTTACAGCTGATGCCTTTAAAAGGCCAAATCTGTGCAAAAATGTGGCTTCGTTGTCCTTTCCTGTCAGGATGCTCCCTGTTTGAACGTGGTCGGGTTGTTGAACCGCATGAGCTGAGGTGTTTTCTACACTCCACAGTGGAGGGGGTGGTTTTTCCTTCAGTGGAACATCAGGAGGTGCAGGGCTGTCAAACAGCTGCTGGCTGCGTCCAGATGTTGCAGAGAACATCCCTCCTGACTGAGGGCCCTCGTCTGTGTGGTAACCACTGGGTTTATCAACGGGACAACGCTACGACTTCTTCCAGGAGAATAACATCACTCTGTTGGACCATCCTGCGTGCTTCCCCTGATCTAAATCCAACTGAGAACCTTCTGGGGATGGATGGTGCAGGAAGTTTAGAAAAATGGACAACAGCTCCAGACAGTAGATAGCCCTTCGTGCACGCCGTCTTCACCACTTGGAGAAATGTTCCCATCACCTCTGGAAACGCTCGCATCAGCATACTGCAACTGAATTTTTGAAGTGATCAACAATAACGTGGAGCTCCTCATTACTGAGTTCATGTTTGGAGCTTTGGTTTCTGTTTTGGTTTACGGGTTTATTTGGAGGTGTGGTCCTAAACGTCTGATCAGCTGTAAAACAGCCAGTTTGTAAGCGTTGCTCTGTCTCACTCTCGTTTCTTCTTGTTTCATGTTGCAGCTCGAGTTGCAACCTCACCTGGACGACCAACTGCTCCAAGCTGGTCAAGAAGGCTCACCAGCGCCTCTTCTTCTTGAGGACTCTGAGGAAGAACCACCTGTCCTCAGACATCCTGGTGACTTCTATCGTTGCACCATCGAGAGCATCCTGACCAACTGTACAACAGTCTGGTACGGGAACTGCTCTGCCTCGGACCGGAAGGCGTTGCAGAGGGTCGTGAAAACTGCCCAGCGCATCGCCGGAGCACCACTTCCTGCCATAAAAGACATCTACAGGAAGCGGTGTCTGAAAAGGGCTGGGAAAATCATCAAAGACCCCAGTCACCCATCACATGGACTCTTCACCCTCCTGCCCTCTGGGAGGCGCTACAGGAGCCTCCGGACTAAGACCACCAGGTACCGGAACAGCTTCTTCCCCACAGCTGTCAGACTCCTGAACTCTGCCTCCTGACATCTGACCCACGTTAAACTCATGGACTGGACATACACACACCCACAGTGGACAACTGTACCCTCAAACACACAATAATAACATGGACTGAACCACCAATCACAACCACCAGCACTTTATACATCCTCTGTAGAAACTATCTACACCCTCACTTATCTTAACTGCACTACTGTATAGCTCTGTGTAAATAATCATTCTGTACATTCGATAATCTTTAATCCTACAACTGTTTACAACTTGCATAGTTCACATCTCTGTATAGCTGTATATCTCAGATTCTGTAAAGTTATTTATTTCATATTCTGTGTAGTTTTTCATATTTATATCCTGTTCATAGCCTGTACATAGCTTGTACTCACTACAGCCTGTACATACTTATAGTTATAGAATATTCACAACATACTTCATACCGTGTACATTATAACATAATAGACCCATTTCTGTAATATATTCACATATCTATATTATTGCTAATATATATTGTAATATATCTATATCACTAAAGCACTTCTGGATGGATGCAAACTGCATTTCGTTGCCCTGTACCTGTGCATGTGCAATGACAATAAAGTTGAATTCTATTCTAGTCTATTCTTTCCTAACCATGACCCAACTGTAACCCGACACTGAAACGACCGTGGCTCAGGGGGTTGGGAAGTGCATCTGTAACTGGAAGGTCGCCGGTTCGATCCCCGCCCTCTCTGTCCTGATTGTGGGTGTGGACCTTTAGCTGCAGTTTGCGGTCCTTGCCGATGAAGAGTGAACCCACAGAACCTGATTCTTAGTGTTTAAATCACATCAGTAACACAAACGATTTTCTCTTTTTTCACACAGTAAAAAAAGTTCTTCTCTTCTTACAGTGGAGGCGCCGTGCTGTGGTTTCATCACAGCGCTGTTTCCTTATAATGTGGAAAAACTGACTCGTGGTTAAAATGTCCCTTTTTTCCCGAAGATGTCTCAGAGATGAACGTTTCACATTAGGACGGGTCACAGGGTGGAGGCGTGCCTGCTCTCACCTGCTCAGGTGAAGCAGCAGCAGAGCACAGGAACAGTGGATACGAGATCTGAGAAATCACCTGAAGTAGGAAAATGATAAATAACTAAAAGAATGTGAAACATGCGAAACAACAGGAAGCTTCCTCCAACACTGCTACAATAAAAGCTCTGCAGTCATCTGCACACAGACGTGTCAGGATCAGCTGACTGTGAGCGGTCCACAGGCCACGCCCCCAAAATAAGAAACATTTTTTAGTCGCTAACAAAAACCAAATATATAAATCAAATGTAAATATTTGATCCTTTACATCGATGTTGTGTTAGATTTTCACCCTCAGCACTTCCTGTGTCTGGACTCGGGGTGATGTCATCACTGAGGAGGAGCTCGGTGAGAGACACCTG